CGGCTTTTTATCGTCGTTTAGCACAAATTTCAATCCTCCCGCGATCCACCGCGCTTAAAACATTGGCTGCATTTCAGCAAAAACGTTTTGCAACTCTTGTAAGATGTTTTTAATATGATTGTTTCCTGCCTTCAATTCCTCATTGGATCGAAATGTATTGTATAAACTAATCGTATTAAAATATCTTACAAGACAGTTGCAAAGCTCCTTTTTCTGCTGAACGCCTATCATTACTTCAGATAATTTTGGAATGAAGAAAATATATATCATCTTTTTAAATATCGATTCGTGTACTTTATATTCAGGAATATACGGACTCTCAACTCGCAATAACGTTATTTGTAACTTTCACAAACGAAAGCTCAAGATACCGCGGCCGTATTTAATATTAGACGTAGGACACAAATTTATCGCTGTCTTTACTATTAATTATTTGATTATGATTCTTGCAATGCGGCGTGTTTGACATTTTCAAGAAAGATTAATTAGAGCAGTGATACTAATCAGATAACCTGTCACTGCTTAAAATACCATTGTAAATTTATCGTGCTAAAATATCGCGCTATAAATCTCACATTTCATTGCTTATATAAATGCTAAAAATTAATTTAACTAGGGTCAGACGTAAGGAGCAAGAAAATCTCCGCTCATACGTGGCCATTAATCATCGTAACAAATAACTTCTCTTTGCGAAAGCAAATATCTTACTTCATTTATGCTTCACAAGCGTTTTGACGTACGATCGTCATTATTTACGAGTAAGTAAAAAATGTCCATCTTTCCTGACATCGTCGGAACTGTCATTCTGAGAACAGGAAGAACGTCATTCATTGCGGAAAAAACGTATTTTCATATTTTGAGATGTATACATGGGAAATATGTGACGTTAACGAGCTATATGGATCCGACGGATCGCGACTCGGCTTAAGAGACATCGATGCCCGGACAGGTCCGAAAACGTATTAGATATAAATATCGTTGATGAACAAGTTGGATTTGAGTATCGTTGCCCACTTGGATTATGTAAAATTCATCAACTTTTTACCTAACAAATTTATCGGTCTCTTTTGCGAAGAAATATTTTTCGAAAAAAAAAACATTACACGTCGAATAAATATCGATGGAGCTCTTTACAGAAAAACAGATCATTCCATTGAATACCTATTTCTTATATCTAACAGTTTTTTATTTATGACTTTTGAACTTTGAAATGTCCGGAAATGTCCAAGGACCGGATTTTCGGTCAATTCTTATTAACTGTTTGAAAAAGCCAATTGTTAGCGTTTTGTAGCACAAAAGGTCGACTTTTCAGAATAAGCATCACAAATATGTTACCTGTGATGCGTTTCAAAAGCACAGCGTGTACCTGACAGAAAAAGAAGATAAGTGACGGCGGCAGCAGTAGTTATCTTGGTAATGTTTGAACGAGTGAAAATATTGTGACGGTGATAGATTTGACGCCGGTACTGTGTTCTTTTAGCGGCGTGCCGGTAAAGGCGGTCCTTCTTTGCGAAATTCGGGTAAATATATGAAGCCAGAAAAGTCTACTCTTTCTATTTCCACCTCGACTGTTAGTTTACACAGAGCAACAACCGGTCCGACGCTGCGCGCAGTGGTGCCTATAAAGACGGACCCAGTAAAGGATACAGACGAATATTTACGATAAAGCGAATAATAAATTTAATGGGTTTTTTTCCTTTGATTGATATGACAGTAGGTGAAATGTATTCGCCTAAATAAATCTTCGATCACTTTCATGACGCAATTCAGAATTATTGAAGCAAATTCGACACGTTGTCTGTTTAGTTGATTCATCTCAAGAGAAATTTTATAGTCTGACGATAATTTTAATTATTTTCAATCAAATACAGAAGAACGCTTTTTTTTTAAAGATAATTAGTATCAGTACCAACTTTTAGATTTATATCTATATATGTATACATCTTTTATCATTTTTTTTTTATTCAATATAGTACAATGGAATACAAGGATTAATGAGTAAATTGCGTTCACAATAAACCAAAAAATTATTCCGACTTAAAAGAGCTTCTTGTCATCATTTCATAGAAATCTTTTTTTTTTTGTTTTATATTCTTTTAATACGAATCATACACAGCAGATGACGAAACAACTGTAATTTCGCGCAGCAAAAATATTTCAAGAATGCCTTTAACAGATTAACTGCTACGTCAAGTATATGAGTGACACGCATTTCATTGCAATTTTCACATTCATTTGTACTTTGAAAGAGCTCACAGAATAAAGTATATAGAAGTAAAAATAGTATATTTTCGAGTTTTAAACAGAATATGTTGTACACGATTGTTGTATAAAGTGGTGTCTACATATATGATGGGATTTTAAGATGTGAAACTTAAGCTTTTAAGCCTTAAGCCGTAAGAAATTGGCCAATCATCGATTATTTCCTCATATTCGATTGTGATTTGTCAATTTTTTACGGTTTAGGGCTTAAAAGCTTAAGATTTACACCTTAAAATATTATCGTAGACGCCGCTTAAGTGGTCTAGTAGTATTATAGAACTTTTAAATTCAGCAAATTCAGCATAACAGTCAACGTATTAAAGAATATTAAAATTGTTGCTCGAGCAAACAAAATGTCTTTCAATGCATGAAAGACACTTTGTCGCATTTAACATTTCCTTCGATCTGAAAACCGAAATAGAATAGCAGCGGCTGCAAAGCTCAAAATCGCTTATATACACATTTTTAGCGCTTTTTTAACGCTTTAAAGCGCTATGTGCTACCTATTATCTACTCTCATCGTGATTTCTGTCATTCAATCAGCCAACAATTTAAGATTTTATCGGTATATTTGGATATATTTTTCTGGATAAGCTTTTATGAATTCAGGTTTTGTCCGGTTAAGCACCACTGTCCGCGGCGCCGAGGCTGCCTTTTGTGTGACGCGGCGATGTCGACTTACAAATTGGAATACAACGGAGCGGGAGTTAGGAGAATCGTTTCACGCTTCGCGGGGGCGCCAAGTGGAAGGCAAACACCGATAAAAAATGCATGAATAAAGCACTAATGGAGCCTCCATGGAAGAGAAATAAACCTCGAATAGTCTTCGCTTCTTAAAGGTGATGACGGGCAAGCGATTGGACGTCCTTTTCTCGCATTCAGTTCCCACGGAATTGCGGATGATTTTTAAGTCTGAAGTGACAAATTTACATAAGAAAGATCGTTCACAAAAAGATCATCTAACTAATCGTCATTAATCTGATATTCTATTTTGCTTATATTAAGTTTTTCGATCCTATTATATGTATGTAAATTTCTTATGGAGGAAACTTATCCCGATCTCCCCGAAGAAATATGATACTTCGAAATTGACAACGAAGAGGAATCACGCAACGTAATAGAATCGTACATAAACTATCCGCATGAAGCGAGCATGATCGAACATGATCGAGCCGCTTATCACGCCGACTAGCATTTCGCGTGAATCACCTGTCGACGTTTTAACGACGTGCAGTAGCTAGTTTGTCATACGGACCAAAGTACGGTGACACGCATTAAAGTAATAACACAAATTACTACGTGCTCTCGATGGAAGAGACAGTTGATCGATATATATGTTGAAAATTACTATATATTAACTGAATTTACTGAAATGCTTAATGACTGCATATTAATTTCGACTTCATCTTTTGATTTATCTTACAACCTTTCTCATTTTCGCTGCGTTCAATTTTTAAGGAAATTATATTACATATTTGGTTATTACACCAACATAGATAATATTATGGTATAGAAAAAATTTTCTTTAGCCCTTAATTCTGAACATTACATTACGTAAACGTACGCCTAAGATGTGACGAAAAGTTTTATCAAACTGTGTTGGAGGAGAAATCGAAATTTTCTATCCATTTCCTGTCTTACTGCGTTGAGAAGGACTCGAATTAGAAGTCGGAACAGTCTGCACAGGTAAACTGTTTGTTTTATTCACCCTTTATGAATGAATGTATCTCATATATGTAATTATTAATAATTATTATATTAATTTTAATAATTATTATTAATATTTATGGCGCTAATAATTACTGGTAACTTTAATTAGTTCGTGATTCTTGGAAGAATGTTATACAAATTATTTGCGAAATTATCGAAGCTGTATATATGTGCTTTTAAAGGGATAAGTCACATATAAAACGTAGAAATAATTATACTCTTCTTTTTTACTCTTAAAAAAAAACGATGCAAACTCTTAGGAAAATGCATACAAACGCCGTTATTACTGAAATTTAATGTAAAGCTCTCTGACTGCATTTTTTCGGGGATTACGCTTCATCACCTTGCATCCAGACAAATCGACGAGGAAGCAAGAAACCCATCAATCTCGATAACGTCGCGTCTAATTGTCGCTTCAATTAATATGAGACCGAACGCGGCCATGATCGACCGATCGATTGGTCGTATACATGATATCCCCCGTAAATACGGTATCATTTCGTAGGATGATTCACCGATGAGCCGGACTGCTTCAAGGACGATCGTCTTTATCATAACTTGAACAGCGCAGAGCTGCGTTTTATCACCAGTGATGTTAAAACCGCCAAAATCCAAAAACAAATAACAATCGAAGTCTTGCAATCAAATTACTGTTGCCTTCATTTGCAATTATATATAATACTTTTAAATTGAGTATTTCTTAAAGCTATCCGTCGTGTATTAGAGAACAAGTAATTAAAGGTACAAATAAATGAAGACGACGCATTAATTTTAATCATTATGTGACTTAACTCTAATTTTATTTATCTCATTGTGAATTTATTTCAATCCATAGATTTATCTCACGTAAATCGCTAAAAACTATTATAAGTTCATACAATTTTTTATATAGTCGGAAAAAATAATTTATGTAAATTATTGAATGAAACAGTAGGAATTTTTTACATTTTTGTTAGAAGATATAACACTTCATCCTTCATTTATTTGTATCTTTGTTTATCTTTAAAAAGAAGAGCGCACGCGTTCACCTGTGTCATGAGACGATCGGCGCCGGAGCCTTCCTCGTCTTTAAAGATGATGTCCGTGTTATAATTGGGTACCAGGTCTCGGAACCTGGGGTCGTATCTAGTAATCCGTCCCTCACTGAGTCCGCTCGCCGGTAGGGTGTTCTCGCTGACATTTGGCACATGCTGTTTGAAGACCAGAGGGGTAAGCTTCCTCAGGTTCGGCCGTCGGCCGGCGCCTCTGCCGGGTCCGCACGCCAAAGCAAAGCCACTGTTATCGAGCACGGGCAGCCAGAGGCTGAGGAGCAACAGAAGAACCTGGAAGAGCGAAGTGCCTACGCGACTCCCAATGGCATAGTGGTGGGTCGCCTGGAGGCCGCGGCGACGATGATAATGGTGCACCATAATCGCGTGCCTCTGCCTCGAGGTCGACCTTGCGCGGTCACTGCTCTCGTCGTCTCCAGAACGGCTGGGAGAACGACGATGACGACGACGGTGGTAACGACGGCGGCGGCAGCAGCAGCAACGATGACGAGGGTGACAATCCGCTTGACGTTCTGCTACCGATTCTTCTTCTCCGCCTCTTGCCACTGACCTCACTCACGCTTAACCATAACCAGGGCATCACACACCCCCCGTGCACGCACTCTTACCACCGATGTGATCCCCGTATTGCGTTGTTGAACTCCGCGCGCGACCGATCCAAAAACTAAAATGATGGTTCACCGGGAGAATTTGAGGGGAACACGAGCGATCGACAGATCGGCGAATTGACTACGGCGAGGCTACTATCTTTCGGAGGATCGGAAAAAGATCCTCTTTTTTTCTCTTTTGATTACCGTAAGGAGGTGACATACGGTCACCGCACCGGGATATCATCAACTCGTGTTATCAAATCGGAGAATTTACGAGAAGGGATCCTTCTGCATCCTAAATGCCGTCGAATTTTCACGGAGAATTATTCTAAGCCGAATTTCCTCGACTGATCGACGTTGATTCTCTCTACCGGTACTGGGCCATTTAAATTCTCGTCGGCACGCGCCAAGCCAACACTCCCGCCTTTCCGCAGTGGAACCCTCTGCGATCGTTTTCGTCGGAGAGAAGGTACGTGCGAGTCGACTCACTTGACTGAACTCGGACGAACGACGTCCGGAAGCTAGCGCACGTTTTCCGGACGAGCCGGTGGTGGGAAATGCAGGATGGGTTTCGGTGGGTACTCCTGCGTTGTTTCTTTGGTCTGACCAGGTCCAGGAGTACCCCTCTTCCTGCCCCCACCCCGCGGCAAACGGCCGGCGAGACCACCGCCGCTGGCTGCTGCTAGCTGCTGCTCGGGCTGGTCCCCGTGAGGCTTTCGTGGCCTCCAAAGGTGGTGGTGGATGATCTCGCCCCTCCACCTAGGGCCTCCTGGTACGCGTGACTGACGTCACGAGGCCCGCTGTACCTCTATTGGCCGGGGCGGGGCGTTTACCAAGTAAACGAAGACAGGTGCACGTGACGGGAGGGAGAAAGAAAAAGAGAGAGAAAGAGTTAGAAAGTGTGAGAAAGAAAGAGGGGAAAAAGGTAGAGAACGAGAGAAAGGAAGAGAAAGATGATAATCTTCCAGTTTTCTTCTTCGGCTAGACGCGATCGGTCTCTCATTCTCTTCTACTCATCTTATTCTTCTTTTCTCTCTCTCTCTCTCTCTCTCTCTCTCTCATCTCCCTGTTTCTTCGTTATTCACCATCCGCCAGTTTCTTCTTTAACTATCTTTCTTTCTTCGGCGTTTCTCGTCTATCGCCGATTGGACTACACTTCTTCTCCGTCTTGCCGTCTTACCTCGTTACTCCGTCTTCTCTTCATCGGAGTGCGTCGCTTTCTTTGCACCTATCGCACTCCCTCGGCTCTTCACTCTGTAAAACTTCCCAATTATACTACGTATATAGGATTCAACACATCGCGAAGATTTCTAATGATTTTCTACCCCCGAAGAACGAATCAGTACCTCCATGATAAAAGCAACACGAGATGCGTGGGAGGCTTACAAGAATGACCTTGATGGATACTTGGAGCGCTGTAGAATTCTTCGTTCTCTTTTCTTCTTCTTTAATTTCTTTCTCTTCACTCACTCGATTCTTTCCATTTCTTTTTCTACTATTAGTACTCGTGGCTCACTTCGGCGTACGTTCGCAATTTCTTCTCACATTTTGTGAAATTTTCACGAAGACTGACATTTAAACACTTGGCTTTCGATAATTATTATATTACGCGTAAATTATATGATATGGACGTACATGAATAATAATTAACTATCGTTCCAACTATCATTCATAACTATCATTTACCGCAGTAAATTATTTTTCTTTTTTACGTTATTGTTAATTGATAATTGCGCGTGTGGATAATTGGCTGTTTATTATCTCTTCGAGCACTTTGACGCCTTCACGAGATATCGTGAGAAAAATCCGTAAACGAATCGTACCGATTACGGATGTGCGAACGTTGCACGATCATTGATCATCGTTACCGTTCGATCTGTCTGCGAGAAATGCGATTGGTATTTGCACATCGGAGGACCGATTATACGAGCCAAATACCGTTGATCGGCATTATACAGCGCGAGTGAAATATACGAGGCCAGGCACGGCTATACAGCAACTGATATGAAAGTCTAAGTCTACCTCGCGGAGGGTGAACAAGCAGAGAAGGGGGGGTGCGGCAAAGAGTTCAGTTTACTGATAATAAACATCTTTCCCAAATACACAAACGATCACTGGCCCGTTCGCATTTACACAACGTCGTGCTGAAACGTGCCCGCGGCATTCTGGCTATAACTACAACCGCGTTGAAAAGCAAAACTTCATCCGCGCGCGCGACGCGGTGAAATAATATTTCCTAATTCTCGACACTATTCGTATATAAATGTTTCGCGCGTATTAGCTCGTCAGATTTCACAGAAAAACTGAAATAAGAAAGTAAATTGATGATATGAGTTTTGCTTAATATAATGACACATTCAGTCAGTGAAGTCATTCTTCAAATGGAAAAAGAAAAATATTTATTTCTCTCACTATGTGTCTAATAACAAATTCTAGCTAAATTTTAATCAAATACTTGTTAACACATGTTAACACATGTATTTAAAACGCGTCATGATCGTTTAAAACGTGATGATTTTACGAATAAACTTCCGCGAAATAGAAATTAGTTTTCAAATTGTTTATCCAGCGTTA